GTGCGATAGGTGGGGGACGACGATCGCCGCATCCCCTCGGTCACTGCCGCCGATTCTCTTTCGGCTACATCAGACGCTTGTGCTCTCCAGCTCGGCTGCGCTCGGATTTGCTCTGTCGCTTCTATTCCATATCGTCCGCCGGATGGTAGTCGGAATCGGTCGCTCATGCCTTCGTCGTGCACGATCTACGGTGTATCTTTTGCTTGTTTGTTCTAAGTCGCTAGCTTTAGCGCATATCTGGCTTGTTCCCAGCTAGCTCGGTTGGCTAGATGCCAGCCTCGTCCCCACAGCTTTGGTTTGCGTAGATTGGCTTCACACTTCCCTTGGCCAGTTGGTTCGCTAACACAAGTAACGGATTGAAAGTGAAAACAAACAAGCAAACTAGCCCATTCTGCCAGCGTTGCTGCCTAAGTAATTAGCCTTTGGTGCCCGTTGCTTTGAACGGCCCTTTCGCCGAGTTTCGCTACTTTAGCTTCCAGCCAAGATTCCTGCTCGATCCCATCCCTGCTACTGCTGGTTTCACTACAGTTCCTTGCTTCACGTTTCATATCTAGTCTATATTATAATTAGGCTAAAACGTGACACTTCCTCTTAGTTCCATCCATATGGGTAAGTAACTCATGCACTTCCTCTTAGTACCATCCATATGGGTAGGTAACGCACTTACTCTTAGTACCAACCATTTGGGTAAGTAGCGTTCTTACTATTAGAACCATCCATATGAGTAAGAAACGCACTTACTCTTAGTACCAACCATTTGGGTAAGTAAAGCACCTACTATTAGTACCATCCATGTGGGTAAGTAACGCACTTACTCTCAGTTCTATCCATATGGATAAGTAACGCACTTCCTCTTAGTTCCATCCATATGGGTAAGTAACGCACTTCCTCTTAGTACCATCCATATGGGTAGGTAACGCACTTACTCTTAGTACCAACCATTTGGGTAAGTAACGTTCTTACTATTAGAACCATCCATATGAGTAAGTAACGCACTTACTATTAGTACCAACCATTTGTGTAAGTAACGCACTTACTATTTAGTACCATCCATGTGGGTTAGTAACGCACTTACTCTTAGTACCATCCATATGGTTAATTAACGCACTTACTCTAAGTACCAATCATTTGGGTAAGTATCGCACTTACTATTAGTACTATCCATATGGGTAAGTAACGCACTTTCCCTTAGTTATAACCATTTGGGTATGTAACGCACTTACCATTAGTACCATCCATATGGGTATGTAACGCACTTACTATTAGTGCCATCCATATGGGTAAGTAACGCACCCACTCTTAGTACCATCCAGATGGGTAAGTAACGCACTTACCCATAGTACCATCTATTTGGGTAAGTAATGCACTTACTATTAGTACCATCCATATGGGTAAGTAACGTACTTAATCTTAGTGCCAACCATTTGGGTATGTAACACAACTACAATTAGTACCATCCATATAGGTAAGTAACGCACTTCCTCTTAGTACAATCCATATGGATAGGTAACGCACCTACTCTTAGTACCAACCAGTTGGGTAAGTAACGCACTTACTATTAGTACCATCCATATGGGTAGGTAACGCACTTACTCTTCGTACCAACCATATGGGTAAATAACGCACTTACTACTGGTACCATCCATATGGGTAAGTAACGCTCTTAGTCTTAATACCAATAGATTGGGTAAGTAACGCAGTTACTATTAGTACCATCCATATGGGTAAGTAACACACTTACTATTAGTACTATCCATATGGGTAAGTATCGCACTTACTATTAGTACCAACCATATGGGTAGGTAACGCACATACTTTTAGTACCATTCATCTGGGTAAGTTACGCACCTACTCGTAGTACCAACCATTTGGGTAAGTAACACACATCCATATGGGTAAGTAACGCACTTACTTCTAGTACCAACCAGATGGGTAAGTAACGAACTACTATTAGTTCCAACCGTATGGATAAGCAACACATCTACTCTTAGTACCAACCGTTTAGATAAGTAACGCAATTACTATTTGTCCCAACCATTTGGTTAAGTAACGCACTTACTATTAGTACCATCCATATGGGTAAGTAGCGCACTTATTCTTAGTACCATGCATATGGGTAAATAACGCACTTATTCTTAGTACCATCCATAAGGGTAAGTAACACACAAACTATTAGTACCATCCATATGGGTAAGTGAGATGCTTTTGCAATTCATGCTCGAAAGAGCTCTCAGGGTAGGTATTTGAAACCTTGTCCGTCACATTATCACATTCTGCAACTGAGACTATAATCATGTTACCATACCAACTGCACTTTGTCCAGTGGTCAAAGCGGTTAGATGCTTTTTTTTTTTTGTACGTTTCTTATAGTAGGCGTCACAAGGGGGAGTCGCAAACGCGTAAAATTTGAGTCGCGTAAATGCACAACATTGCATCGCAGATAGCTTGTGCTTGCGACCAAGCGCTCACAATGTCATAATCCCCCAATTGAATGCTCCCCACTCCCCCCTGCTATCCCCACCCCCCCTGCTTGGTCGCTCTCATATTCGCATTGCCATAATTATTCATGCTGTCATGCTCCCACCATCATGCTCTCACTGCCATGCATGCTCTCACTGCCATGCATGCTCTCACTGCCATGCATGCTCTCACTGCCATGCATGCTCTCACTGCCATGCTTGCTCTCACTGCCATGCATGCTCTCACTGCCATGCTTGCTCTCACTGCCATGCTTGCTCTCACTGCCATGCTTGCTCTCACTGCCATGCTTGCTCTCACTGCCATGCCTGCTCTCACTGGCGTGCTCCATTGTCACCAGTTTTCTACTGTTCATGTCTCCACCGTGACAGGCTTCCTCATCCGTGGGTGGATCTTGGAGTGAATGAGTGAGTGGATGTTGGAGGAACGGAGGAATGAGAGCCATGCTCGCACTGCCATGCTCTCACTGCCGTTTTCCCATGGTCATCATCCCCCCAGCACCATTCGCCCACTGTTCATATTTCCACCATGCCATGCTAACATGACTGTTTTCTCAAGTGGGTTGATGTTGGAGGAAGAGAGGGGTGAGGGAAAGGGTGGGGAAGAGAGTGTGGGGTGAAGCAGGAGGAGAGGAGTGTGGGGTGTGAAATTGGCTCATTCTTATTATTGTCATTTCCTCATTTTCATGAGCACGTGTCATTACTCATGATCAATCTGCCATGCTCACATTCTCCTGGTCATATTGTCACAGATCCGTCCATATTTACGTTTCTGTAACAAAATCCCAATTTCACTACCGCCTATTATCTTCTCCCTCACTTGCATCCCATTGCCACTCTCCACTGCCATTGTTAATTTCATGTCACCATATTCCCGTCCACTCCTCATTGCCATTTGTTCTGTCAGCTTCTTGCCAGCTGTCCAGTCAACTTCCCCAATACCTTCTTGTTCATGCGCGATTTCACGTTCGTCTTTCCATCTGCATGTCACCTTCCATTGTCGATTTCTTAGTGTTGCCATCTGTTCATCCAGCTTCGCATTGACATCATCTTCAAGCCAACTTCCCAGCGTATTTTCTCGTGTAACATCCCATTACCGTTTCTGCAGGCAGCTTCCCATTGCCATGTTCCCAGCCGATTTCTTCCTCTGCCATCTTCCTCGTCGTGCTGCCTCCCCACACATGGTTCTCACAAAATCGCCCGTCCACTTGCCCATCATCCCAGCAGCCACTTCCCCTCCCTCCCCAGGCCATCCACACGTGGCATGAGAGAGATCCCAGTCATTTCCAATTTCCATTCACACTCACCTTTCTCTCGCCAGGTCTGCATTGTTATCATCTCGCTTTCACCTTTCCATTCCAACCCTTCTATTCCTGCACCGTTTTCCAAGTGTAGTTTCCACAATCCATTGTAATTCGTCCAATTTGGCTTACAGGGTTAGCCAGTCACCTTCCATTATTATTCGTTGAGACTTCTCGTGATGTCATTTTCCCACTGTCAGCTTCCCCATTGTCAGCTTCCCCACTGTGCTTCGTTCGCGCTACCATCTATTCTGGTCCACCTTTTCCCCCTTTCCATGTGAGCTGTACCAGGGAAACGCCATTTCTTCCTCCTCCCTCCTTTCCCCATCAATTTCCCCATCGCAATTGTTTCCTCTGTCATGCATTCTTGCATGTCAAGTCATGCACCACATGCCTACTTGCTCAGATGTGCATGATATGCCTGCCTGCTCATCCCATTTCACTCCCCCATACACCACAGTCATTTCCCCATTGTCATCTCCCCATTGCATTCCCACCTCCTATTCTCATTATACTATCCCATTTTGTTGATCCCATTCGCATGCATCCAATCAATGTTGTTTCCCTTTATCATTTTTCTGATCAACTTCTCATTTCCATGGTTCCAGCCTACTTTCCATGTTCTTGTTTAACCGCTTGTTGTCATTGTCCAGTCATTTTCCAATATGATTTGTCAAGTCTTCTCATGTTATTGTATTTTTTACTAGTAAATCACATATTTCCATTTTTTTGTCCGCTCAGCCAACCTCCCGTAGCTGTTTTGAATTAAAGTGTCCCTATGCCTTTGTCATTCATAGTTTTGCAGTCGTCCCCCCATTACCATTGTTGAGTCATAGTGTCGTTTGCTGGCTGTTTACATTTAGCCATTTCACCCCTCATTCTCACTTGTATAGTCAAATTCTTATTGCCATTTGTCTTCCCAAGTTCCTACTGCCATGCCACTCTTCCAATCCATTTCTCATGTCGAATCAGCTCGGCTTGTCATTGCCAGCTTGTCATTGCCAGTTTTTTACTGCTACTTTCCCTGTTACCTTTCCCCATTGCCACTTGCCGTTGATTTCGCATCGCCGTTTCGCAGCCGGATTTCCACTCTCATGCTGCCACTCAATCGCCCATCGCCAGGTGCTGTCAACTTCACATATCTGCGTTACCAGTGCGTTGCCCATTGCCACCCTCCATGCCAATTTCATCCTCTTCCATTGCTTTCCTCCTGACTCCTGCAATGCGCACGTGGCAACTCAGAGGGCCCAGTTTCACACCTCGCATCGTCGACGATGTCGGCAGAGGGGAAATCCCCTCTGCATGTGGGGAAATGCCCTCTGCATGTGGGGAAATCCCCTCTGCATGTGTGAAAATCCCCTCTGCATGTGGGGAAATCCCCTCTGCATGTGGGGAAATCCCCTCTGCATGTGGGGAAATCCCCTCTGCATGTGGGGAAATCCCCTCTGCATGTGGGGAAATCCCCTCTGCATGTGGGGAAATCCCCTCTGCATGTTGGGAAATCCCCTCTGCATGTGGGAAAATCCCCTCTCCATGTGGGGAAATCCCCTCTGCACATGGGTAAATCCCCTCTCCATGTGGGGAAATCCCCCCTGCACGTTGGGAAATCCCCTCTGCAAGTGGGGAAATCCCCTCTGCATGTGGGGAAATCCCCTCTGCATGTGGGGAAATCCCCTCTGCACGTTGGGAAATCCCCTCTGCATGTGGGAAAATCCCCTCTGCATGTGGGGAAATCCCCTCTGCACGTGGGAAAATCCCCTCTCCATGTGGGGAAATCCCCTCTGCACGTGGGGAAATCCCCTCTGCATGTGGGGAAATCCCCTCTGCATGTGGGGAAATCCCCTCTGCATGTGGGGAAATCCCCTCTGCATGTGGGGAAATCCCCTCTGCATGTGGGGAAATTCCCTCTGCATGTGGGGAAATCCCCTCTGCATGTGGGGAAATCCCCTCTCCATATGGGGAAATCCCCTCTGCACGTGAGGAAATCCCCTCTGCACGTGGGGAAATCCCCTCTGTATGTGGGGAAGTCCCCTCTGCATGTGGGGAAATCCCCTCTGCATGTGGGGAAATCCCCTCTGCATGTGGGGAAATCCCCTCTGCACGTTGGGAAATCCCCTCTGCACGTGGGGAAATCCCCTCTGCATGTGGGGAAATCCCCTCTGCATGTGGGGAAATCCCCTCTGCACGTTGGGAAATCCCCTCTGCATGTGGGGAAATCCCCTCTGCATGTGGGGAAAGCCCCTCTGCATGTGGGGAAATCCCCTCTGCATGTTGGGAAATCCCCTCTGCATGTGGGGAAATCCCCTCTGCATGTGGGGAAATCCCCTCTGCATGTGGGGAAATCCCCTCTGCATGTTGGAAAATCCCCTCTGCATGTGGGGAAATCCCCTCTGCATGTGGGGGAATCCCCTCTGCATGTGGGGAAATCCCCTCTGCATGTGGGGAAATCCCCTCTGCATGTGGGGAAATCCCCTCTGCATGTGGGGAAATCCCCTCTGCATGTGGGGAAATCCCCTCTGCATGTGGGGAAATCCCCTCTGCACGTTGGGAAATCCCCTCTGCATGTGGGGAAATCCCCTCTGCATATGGGGAAATCCCCTCTGCATGTGGGGAAATCCCCTCTGCACGTTGGGAAATCCCCTCTGCATGTGGGGAAATCCCCTCTGCATGTGGGGAAATCCCCTCTGCACGTGGGGAAATCCCCTCTGCACGTGGGGAAATCCCCTCTCCATGTGGGGAAATCCCCCCTGCATGTGGGGAAATCCCCTCTGCATGTGGGGAAATCCCCTCTGCATGTGGGGAAATCCCCTCTGCATGTGGGGAAATCCCCTCTGCATGTGGGGAAATCCCCTCTGCATGTGGGGAAATCCCCTCTGCATGTGGGGAAATCCCCTCTGCATGTGGGGAAATCCCCTCTGCATGTGGGGAAATCCCCTCTGCATGTGGGGAAATCCCCTCTGCATGTGGGGAAATCCCCTCTGCATGTGGGGAAATCCCCTCTGCATGTGGGGAAATCCCCTCTGCATGTGGGGAAATCCCCTCTGCATGTGGGGAAATCCCCTCTGCATGTGGGGAAATCCCCTCTGCATGTGGGGAAATCCCCTCTGCATGTGCGGAAATCCCCTCTGCATGTGGGGAAATCCCCTCTGCATGTGGGGAAATCCCCTCTGCATGTGGGGAAATCCCCTCTGCATGTGGGGAAATCCCCTCTGCATGTTGGAAAATCCCCTCTGCATGTGGGGAAATCCCCTCTGCATGTGGGGAAATCCCCTCTGCATGTGGGGAAATCCCCTCTGCATGTGGGGAAATCCCCTCTGCATGTGGGGAAATCCCCTCTGCATGTGGGGAAATCCCCTCTGCATGTGGGGAAATCCCCTCTGCATGTGGGGAAATCCCCTCTGCATGTGGGGAAATCCCCTCTGCATGTGGGGAAATCCCCTCTGCATGTGGGGAAATCCCCTCTGCATGTGGGGAAATCCCCTCTGCACGTTGGGAAATCCCCTCTGCATGTGGGGAAATCCCCTCTGCATGTGGGGAAATCCCCTCTGCATGTGGGGAAATCCCCTCTGCACGTTGGGAAATCCCCTCTGCATGTGGGGAAATTCCCTCTGCATGTGGGGAAATCCCCTCTGCACGTGTGGAAATCCCCTCTCCATGTGGGGAAATCCCCTCTCCATGTGGGGAAATCCCCTCTGCATGTGGGGAAATCCCCCCTGCATGTGGGGAAATCCCCTCTGCATGTTGGGAAATCCCCTCTGCATGTGGAGAAATCCCCTCTGCATGTGGGGAAATCCCCTCTGCACGTTGGGAAATCCCCTCTGCATGTGGGGAAATCCCCTCTGCATGTGGGGAAATCCCCTCTGCATGTGGGGAAATCCCCCCTGCATGTGGGGAAATCCCCTCTGCATGTGGGGAAATCCCCTCTGCATGTGGGAAAATCCCCTCTCCATGTGGGGAAATCCCCTCTGCATGTGGGGAAATCCCCCCTGCATGTGGGGAAGTCCCCTCTGCATGTGGGGAAATCCCCTCTGCATGTGGGGAAATCCCCTCTCCATGTGGGGAAATCCCCTCTGCACGTGGGGAAATCCCCTCTCCATGTGGGGAAATCCCCCCTGCATGTGGGGAAATCCCCTCTGCATGTGGGGAAATCCCCTCTGCATGTGGGGAAATCCCCTCTGCATGTGGGGAAATCCCCTCTGCATGTGGGGAAATCCCCTCTGCATGTGGGGAAATCCCCTCTGCATGTGGGGAAATCCCCTCTGCATGTGGGGAAATCCCCTCTGCATGTGGGGAAATCCCCTCTGCATGTGGGGAAATCCCCTCTGCATGTGGGGAAATCCCCTCTGCATGTGGGGAAATCCCCTCTGCATGTGGGTAAATCCCCCCTGCATGTGGGGAAATCCCCTCTGCATGTGGGGAAATCCCCTCTGCATGTGGGGAAATCCCCTCTCCATGTGGGGAAATCCCCTCTGCATGTGGGGAAATCCCCCCTGCATGTGGGGAAGTCCCCTCTGCATGTGGGGAAATCCCCTCTGCATGTGGGGAAATCCCCTCTCCATGTGGGGAAATCCCCTCTGCACGTGGGGAAATCCCCTCTCCATGTGGGGAAATCCCCCCTGCATGTGGGGAAATCCCCTCTGCATGTGGGGAAATCCCCTCTGCATGTGGGGAAATCCCCTCTGCATGTGGGGAAATCCCCTCTGCATGTGGGGAAATCCCCTCTGCATGTGGGGAAATCCCCTCTGCATGTGGGGAAATCCCCTCTGCATGTGGGGAAATCCCCTCTGCATGTTGGGAAATCCCCTCTGCATGTGGGGAAATCCCCTCTGCATGTGGGGAAATCCCCCCTGCATGTGGGGAAATCCCCTCTGCATGTGGGGAAATCCCCTCTCCATGTGGGGAAATCCCCCCTGCATGTGGGGAAATCCCCTCTGCATGTGGGGAAATCCCCTCTGCATGTGGGAAAATCCCCTCTCCATGTGGGGAAATCCCCTCTGCATGTGGGGAAATCCCCCCTGCATGTGGGGAAGTCCCCTCTGCATGTGGGGAAATCCCCTCTGCATGTGGGGAAATCCCCTCTCCATGTGGGGAAATCCCCTCTGCACGTGGGGAAATCCCCTCTCCATGTGGGGAAATCCCCCCTGCATGTGGGGAAATCCCCTCTGCATGTGGGGAAATCCCCTCTGCATGTGGGGAAATCCCCTCTGCATGTGGGGAAATCCCCTCTGCATGTGGGGAAATCCCCTCTGCATGTGGGGAAATCCCCTCTGCATGTGGGGAAATCCCCTCTGCATGTGGGGAAATCCCCTCTGCACGTGAGGAAATCCCCTCTGCACGTGGGGAAATCCCCTCTCCATGTGGGGAAATCCCCCCTGCATGTGGGGAAATCCCCTCTGCATGTGGGGAAATCCCCTCTGCATGTGGGGAAATCCCCTCTGCATGTGGGGAAATCCCCTCTGCATGTGGGGAAATCCCCTCTGCATGTGCGGAAATCCCCTCTGCATGTGGGGAAATCCCCTCTGCATGTGGGGAAATCCCCTCTGCATGTGGGGAAATCCCCTCTGCATGTGGGGAAATCCCCTCTGCATGTTGGAAAATCCCCTCTGCATGTGGGGAAATCCCCTCTGCATGTGGGGAAATCCCCTCTGCATGTGGGGAAATCCCCTCTGCATGTGGGGAAATCCCCTCTGCATGTGGGGAAATCCCCTCTGCATGTGGGGAAATCCCCTCTGCATGTGGGGAAATCCCCTCTGCACGTTGGGAAATCCCCTCTGCATGTGGGGAAATCCCCTCTGCATGTGGGGAAATCCCCTCTGCATGTGGGGAAATCCCCTCTGCACGTTGGGAAATCCCCTCTGCATGTGGGGAAATCCCCTCTGCATGTGGGGAAATCCCCTCTGCATGTGGGGAAATCCCCTCTGCATGTGCGGAAATCCCCTCTGCATGTGGGGAAATCCCCTCTGCATGTGGGGAAATCCCCTCTGCATGTGGGGAAATCCCCTCTGCATGTGGGGAAATCCCCTCTGCATGTTGGAAAATCCCCTCTGCATGTGGGGAAATCCCCTCTGCATGTGGGGAAATCCCCCCTGCATGTGGGGAAATCCCCTCTGCATGTGGGGAAATCCCCTCTGCATGTGGGGAAATCCCCTCTGCATGTGGGGAAATCCCCTCTGCATGTGGGGAAATCCCCTCTGCATGTGGGGAAATCCCCTCTGCATGTTGGGAAATCCCCTCTGCATGTGGGGAAATCCCCTCTGCATGTGGGGAAATCCCCCCTGCATGTGGGGAAATCCCCTCTGCATGTGGGGAAATCCCCTCTCCATGTGGGGAAATCCCCCCTGCATGTGGGGAAATCCCCTCTGCATGTGGGGAAATCCCCTCTGCATGTGGGAAAATCCCCTCTCCATGTGGGGAAATCCCCTCTGCATGTGGGGAAATCCCCCCTGCATGTGGGGAAGTCCCCTCTGCATGTGGGGAAATCCCCTCTGCATGTGGGGAAATCCCCTCTCCATGTGGGGAAATCCCCTCTGCACGTGGGGAAATCCCCTCTCCATGTGGGGAAATCCCCCCTGCATGTGGGGAAATCCCCTCTGCATGTGGGGAAATCCCCTCTGCATGTGGGGAAATCCCCTCTGCATGTGGGGAAATCCCCTCTGCATGTGGGGAAATCCCCTCTGCATGTGGGGAAATCCCCTCTGCATGTGGGGAAATCCCCTCTGCATGTGGGGAAATCCCCTCTGCACGTGGGGAAATCCCCTCTGCACGTGGGGAAATCCCCTCTCCATGTGGGGAAATCCCCCCTGCATGTGGGGAAATCCCCTCTGCATGTGGGGAAATCCCCTCTGCATGTGGGGAAATCCCCTCTGCATGTGGGGAAATCCCCTCTGCATGTGGGGAAATCCCCTCTGCATGTGCGGAAATCCCCTCTGCATGTGGGGAAATCCCCTCTGCATGTGGGGAAATCCCCTCTGCATGTGGGGAAATCCCCTCTGCATGTGGGGAAATCCCCTCTGCATGTTGGAAAATCCCCTCTGCATGTGGGGAAATCCCCTCTGCATGTGGGGAAATCCCCTCTGCATGTGGGGAAATCCCCTCTGCATGTGGGGAAATCCCCTCTGCATGTGGGGAAATCCCCTCTGCATGTGGGGAAATCCCCTCTGCATGTGGGGAAATCCCCTCTGCATGTGGGGAAATCCCCTCTGCATGTGGGGAAATCCCCTCTGCACGTTGGGAAATCCCCTCTGCATGTGGGGAAATCCCCTCTGCATGTGGGGAAATCCCCTCTGCATGTGGGGAAATCCCCTCTGCACGTTGGGAAATCCCCTCTGCATGTGGGGAAATTCCCTCTGCATGTGGGGAAATCCCCTCTGCACGTGGGGAAATCCCCTCTCCATGTGGGGAAATCCCCTCTCCATGTGGGGAAATCCCCTCTGCATGTGGGGAAATCCCCCCTGCATGTGGGGAAATCCCCTCTGCATGTTGGGAAATCCCCTCTGCATGTGGGGAAATCCCCTCTGCATGTGGGGAAATCCCCTCTGCACGTTGGGAAATCCCCTCTGCATGTGGGGAAATCCCCTCTGCATGTGGGGAAATCCCCTCTGCATGTGGGGAAATCCCCCCTGCATGTGGGGAAATCCCCTCTGCATGTGGCGAAATCCCCTCTGCATGTGGGAAAATCCCCTCTCCATGTGGGGAAATCCCCTCTGCATGTGGGGAAATCCCCCCTGCATGTGGGGAAGTCCCCTCTGCATGTGGGGAAATCCCCTCTGCATGTGGGGAAATCCCCTCTCCATGTGGGGAAATCCCCTCTGCACGTGGGGAAATCCCCTCTCCATGTGGGGAAATCCCCCCTGCATGTGGGGAAATCCCCTCTGCATGTGGGGAAATCCCCTCTGCATGTGGGGAAATCCCCTCTGCATGTGGGGAAATCCCCTCTGCATGTGGGGAAATCCCCTCTGCATGTGGGGAAATCCCCTCTGCATGTGGGGAAATCCCCTCTGCATGTGGGGAAATCCCCTCTGCATGTGGGGAAATCCCCTCTGCATGTGGGGAAATCCTCTCTGCATGTGGGGAAATCCCCTCTGCATGTGGGGAAATCCCCTCTGCATGTGGGGAAATCCCCCCTGCATGTGGGGAAATCCCCTCTGCATGTGGGGAAATCCCCTCTCCATGTGGGGAAATCCCCTCTGCATGTGGGGAAATCCCCCCTGCATGTGGGGAAGTCCCCTCTGCATGTGGGGAAATCCCCTCTGCATGTGGGGAAATCCCCTCTCCATGTGGGGAAATCCCCTCTGCACGTGGGGAAATCCCCTCTCCATGTGGGGAAATCCCCCCTGCATGTGGGGAAATCCCCTCTGCATGTGGGGAAATCCCCTCTGTATGTGGGGAAATCCCCTCTGCATGTGGGGAAATCCCCTCTGCATGTGGGGAAATCCCCTCTGCATGTGGGGAAATCCCCTCTGCATGTGGGGAAATCCCCTCTGCATGTGGGGAAATCCCCTCTGCATGTTGGGAAATCCCCTCTGCATGTGGGGAAATCCCCTCTGCATGTGGGGGAATCCCCTCTGCATGTGGGGAAATCCCCTCTGCATGTGGGGAAATCCCCTCTGCATGTGGGGAAATCCCCTCTGCATGTGGGGAAATCCCCTCTGCATGTGGGGAAATCCCCTCTGCATGTGGGGAAATCCCCTCTGCACGTTGGGAAATCCCCTCTGCATGTGGGGAAATCCCCTCTGCATGTGGGGAAATCCCCTCTGCACGTTGGGAAATCCCCTCTGCATGTGGGGAAATTCCCTCTGCATGTGGGGAAATCCCCTCTGCACGTGGGGAAATCCCCTCTCCATGTGGGGAAATCCCCTCTCCATGTGGGGAAATCCCCTCTGCATGTGGGGAAATTCCCCCTGCATGTGGGGAAATCCCCTCTGCATGTTGGGAAATCCCCTCTGCATGTGGGGAAATCCCCCCTGCATGTGGGGAAATCCCCTCTGCATGTGGGGAAATCCCCTCTGCATGTGGGGAAATCCCCTCTCCATGTGGGGAAATCCCCTCTGCATGTGGGGAAATCCCCCCTGCATGTGGGGAAGTCCCCTCTGCATGTGGGGAAATCCCCTCTGCATGTGGGGAAATCCCCTCTCCATGTGGGGAAATCCCCTCTGCACGTGGGGAAATCCCCTCTCCATGTGGGGAAATCCCCCCTGCATGTGGGGAAATCCCCTCTGCATGTGGGGAAATCCCCTCTGCATGTGGGGAAATCCCCTCTGCATGTGGGGAAATCCCCTCTGCATGTGGGGAAATCCCCTCTGCATGTGGGGAAATCCCCTCTGCATGTGGGGAAATCCCCTCTGCATGTGGGGAAATCCCCTCTGCATGTTGGGAAATCCCCTCTGCATGTGGGGAAATCCCCTCTGCATGTGGGGGAATCCCCTCTGCATGTGGGGAAATCCCCTCTGCATGTGGGGAAATCCCCTCTGCATGTGGGGAAATCCCCTCTGCATGTGGGGAAATCCCCTCTGCATGTGGGGAAATCCCCTCTGCATGTGGGGAAATCCCCTCTGCACGTTGGGAAATCCCCTCTGCATGTGGGGAAATCCCCTCTGCACGTGGGGAAATCCCCTCTGCACGTGGGGAAATCCCCTCTGCACGTGGGGAAATCCCCTCTCCATGTGGGGAAATCCCCCCTGCATGTGGGGAAATCCCCTCTGCATGTGGGGAAATCCCCTCTGCATGTGGGGAAATCCCCTCTGCATGTGGGGAAATCCCCTCTGCATGTGCGGAAATCCCCTCTGCATGTGGGGAAATCCCCTCTGCATGTGGGGAAATCCCCTCTGCATGTGGGGAAATCCCCTCTGCATGTGGGGAAATCCCCTCTGCATGTTGGAAAATCCCCTCTGCATGTGGCGAAATCCCCTCTGCATGTGGGGAAATCCCCTCTGCATGTGGGGAAATCCCCTCTGCATGTGGGGAAATCCCCTCTGCATGTGGGGAAATCCCATCTGCATGTGGGGAAATCCCCTCTGCATGTGGGGAAATCCCCTCTGCATGTGGGGAAATCCCCTCTGCATGTGGGGAAATCCCCTCTGCATGTTGGAAAATCCCCTCTGCATGTGGGGAAATCCCCTCTGCATGTGGGGGAATCCCCTCTGCATGTGGGGAAATCCCCTCTGCATGTGGGGAAATCCCCTCTGCATGTGGGGAAATCCCCTCTGCATGTGGGGAAATCCCCTCTGCACGTTGGGAAATCCCCTCTGCATGTGGGGAAATCCCCTCTGCATGTGGGGAAATCCCCTCTGCATGTGGGGAAATCCCCTCTGCACGTTGGAAAATCCCCTCTGCATGTGGGGAAATCCCCTCTGCATGTGGGAAAATCCCCTCTGCACGTGGGGAAATCCCCTCTGCACGTGGGGAAATCCCCTCTGCACGTGGGGAAATCCCCTCTCCATGTGGGGAAATCCCCCCTGCATGTGGGAAAATCCCCTCTGCATGTGGGGAAATCCCCTCTGCATGTGGGGAAATCCCCTCTGCATGTGGGGAAATCCCCTCTGCATGTGGGGAAATCCCCTCTGCATGTGGGGAAATCCCCTCTGCATGTGGGGAAATCCCCTCTGCATGTGGGGAAATCCCCTCTGCATGTGGGGAAATCCCCTCTGCATGTGGGGAAATCCCCTCTCCATATGGGGAAATCCCCTCTGCACGTGGGGAAATCCCCTCTGCACGTGGGGAAATCCCCTCTGCATGTGGGGAAATCCCCTCTCCATGTGGGGAAATCCCCTCTGCACGTGGGGAAATCCCCTCTGCACGTGGGGAAATCCCCTCTCCATGTGGGGAAATCCCCCCTGCATGTGGGGAAATCCCCTCTGCATGTGGGGAAATCCCCTCTGCATGTGGGGAAATCCCCTCTGCATGTGGGGAAATCCCCTCTGCATGTGGGGAAATCCCCTCTGCATGTGGGGAAATCCCCTCTGCATGTGGGGAAATCCCCTCTGCACGTTGGGAAATCCCCTCTGCATGTGGGGAAATCCCCTCTGCATGTGGGGAAATCCCCTCTGCATGTGGGGAAATCCCCTCTGCACGTTGGGAAATCCCCTCTGCATGTGGGGAAATCCCCTCTGCATGTGGGGAAATCCCCTCTGCATGTGGGGAAATCCCCTCTGCATGTGAGGAAATCCCCTCTGCATGTGGGGAAATCCCCTCTGTATGTGGGGAAATCCCCTCTGCATGTGGGGAAATCCCCTCTGCATGTGGGGAAATCCCCCCTGCATGTGGGGAAATCCCCTCTGCATATGGGGAAATCCCCTCTGCATGTGGGGAAATCCCCTCTCCATGTGGGAAAATCCCCTCTGCACGTGGGGAAATCCCCTCTGCACGTGGGGAAATCCCCTCTCCATGTGTGTAAATCCCCCCTGCATGTGGGGAAATCCCCTCTGCATGTGGGGAAATCCCCTCTGCATGTGGGGAAATCCCCTCTGCATGTGGGAAAATCCCCTCTGCATGTGGGGAAATCCCCTCTGCATGTGGGGAAATCCCCTCTGCATGTGGGGAAATCCCCTCTGCATGTGGGGAAATCCCCTCTGCATGTGGGGAAATCCCCTCTGCATGTGGGGAAATCCCCTCTGCATGTTGGAAAATCCCCTCTGTATGTGGGGAAATCCCCTCTGCATGTGGGGGAATCCACTCTGCATGTGGGGAAATCCCCTCTGCATGTGGGGAAATCCCCTCTGCATGTGGGGAAATCCCCTCTGCATGTGGGGAAATCCCCTCTGCATGTGGGGAAATCCCCTCTGCATGTGGGGAAATCCCCTCTGCACGTTGGGAAATCCCCTCTGCATGTGGGGAAATCCCCTCTGCACGTTGGGAAATCCCCTCTGCATGTGGGGAAATCCCCTCTGCACGTTGGGAAATCCCCTCTGCATGTGGGGAAATCCCCTCTGCATGTGGGGAAATCCCCTCTGCACGTGGGGAAATCCCCTCTGCACGTGGGGAAATCCCCTCTGCACGTGGGGAAATCCCCTCTCCATGTGGGGAAATCCCCCCTGCATGTGGGGAAATCCCCTCTGCATGTGGGGAAATCCCCTCTGCATGTGGGGAAATCCCCTCTGCATGTGGGGAAATCCCCTCTGCATGTGGGGAAATCCCCTCTGCATGTGCGGAAATCCCCTCTGCATGTGGGGAAATCCCCTCTGCATGTGGGGAAATCCCCTCTGCATGTGGGGAAATCCCCTCTGCATGTGGGGAAATCCCCTCTGCATGTTGGAAAATCCCCTCTGCATGTGGGGAAATCCCCTCTGCATGTGGGGAAATCCCCTCTGCATGTGGGGAAATCCCCTCTGCATGTGGGGAAATCCCCTCTGCATGTGGGGAAATCCCCTCTGCATGTGGGGAAATCCCCTCTGCATGTGGGGAAATCCCCTCTGCATGTGGGGAAATCCCCCCTGCATGTGGGGAAATCCCCTCTGCATGTGGGGAAATCCCCTCTGCATGTGGGGAAATCCCCTCTGCATGTGGGGAAATCCCCTCTGCATGTGGGGAAATCCCCTCTGCATGTGGGGAAATCCCCTCTGCATGTGGGGAAATCCCCTCTGCATGTGGGGAAATCCCCTCTGCATGTGGGGAAATCCCCTCTGCATGTGGGGAAATCCCCTCTGCATGTTGGGAAATCCCCTCTGCATGTGGGGAAATCCCCTCTGCATGTGGGGAAATCCCCTCTGCATGTGGGGAAATCCCCTCTGCATGTGGGGAAATCCCCTCTGCATGTGGGGAAATCCCCTCTGCATGTGGGGAAATCCCCTCTGTATGTGGGGAAGTCCCCTCTGCATGTGGGGAAATCCCCTCTGCATGTGGGAAAATCCCCTCTGCATGTGGGGAAATCCCCTCTGCACGTTGGGAAATCCCCTCTGCACGTGGGGAAATTCCCTCTGCATCTGGGGAAATCCCCTCTGCATGTGGGGAAATCCCCTCTGCACGTTGGGAAATCCCCTCTGCATGTGGGGAAATCCCCTGTGCATGTGGGGAAAGCCCCTCTGCATGTGGGGAAATCCCCTCTGCATGTTGGGAAATCCCCTCCGCATGTGGGGAAATCCCCTCTGCATGTGGGGAAATCCCCTCTGCATGTGGGGAAATCCCCTCTGCATGTGGGGAAATCCCCTCTGCATGTGGGGAAATCCCCTCTGCATGTGGGGAAATCCCCTCTGCACGTTGGGAAATCCCCTCTGCATGTGGGGAAATCCCCTCTGCATGTGGGGAAATCCCCTCGTCGCACGTGGAAACTGGGCCATTGACTATCGACGTCGGCATCCCCTCTGCATGCCCCACCCACTCAGGCTGCCCTCATTGTGACTACACCATGCTCTCACGCCTTCTTATGGCAGCATGCCATCGTCACAAAAAAATTGGCGGGAAATCTATGCTCAAAGACTGTCAGAACAATGTTCAGTCTATGTCCCAGGGACCATTGCTGGAGGTCTATCTTCAGCAATCTAATTTCGAAGGGCAGTGTTGTAGGAGTGCTCATGATGATTGGACAAAGATTCCCCTGCACGTTCGGCAAGGACTGCCGAAACACACACAGAGCAATCTTCATACCCGATACAGTAAAAGCTTACACGTGTGTCGACTGGTGTATCTGCCATTAGCCAATTCGGTATAGCGTGGCATCAAAATATTGACATCCATATGAAACAGACAGTTTGTGACGCAAACGAGATGCGCTAAACGAAGGTGACTAGTCACATAAAAGAACATCAACTAGCAGCACACTCCGTGTAGGCACCAGGGTTTACAGGGGTTTCCATTATACCTAATAGACTCTGGTAACAGAGTTACGTTGTTGCAAACCTAACGTGTTATGTTTATTTAATCAATTTTAGAAACATTCACAATCAACATGGTCTAGCTTATAACCAAGACAATCAAGTAGCGACCAGTTTGACAACGGTACAAAACAATATTACACCCACAATTGCAGCATGCACTATTGTAACAAACATGCCGACACTTCAAATCTGCAACAAACCCACACACACACGCAGCCGAGCTACACAACATAGTCCAAACACACGAAGAAGAGTTAGGCAGCAAAGAGCAACGAGCATGTACGGTAGACTTACCTAACTTGCTTGACGCAGATGTTGAACGAAACTGTTGCGCCGTATGGTATATACTGCCGAAGCAGGGACAAATTCGAAAAGGCACGTAGAATGCTCCTGCACCCTGTTACGAACGGATTACTCCTGTGAATATAACAGACACAGACAAGATGCATGTTTAGAGATTCGTCGTTGGAATAAAATCTTACCTGATCTCCAGAAGACTGATGCAGGGAGGATAGGTGCTCTGTCTATGGTGCCCGTCGCGGCGCCCCGGGGGGGGCCGCGCGGCTCCCTTCTCGTCGCCCCTCGGGGCGCCCTGGGGGCCGTGCGTTTTCCCCCCCCGCGGCCGCCCCTGGAGCCGCCCGCCACTGCAGCAGCAGCCCCTGGAGCCGCCTGCACCTGCAGCAGCCGCCCCTGGAGCCGCCCGCCAGTGCAGCAGCCGCCCCTGGAGCAGCCCGCACCTGCAGCAGCCGCCCCTGGAGCATCCCGCACCTGCAGCAGCCGCCCCTGGAGCAGCCCGCATCTGCAGCAGCCGCCCCAGGACCCGCGCGAGCCGCCTCTGCAGAAGCCCGCCCCGTCCCCCCCCCCCCCCCCCGGTGCTGCCCATTGCTCCCATTCCACCGTGCGTTCCGCGGTGGCTGGGGTGTGGGGTGGCGAGCATGGGGGTGAGAGGTGTGGGTTCTCCCCTCCTCCTTTTTCGTCTCCCACTGCTGCAGCTGCCGCTGAGGGGGGTGGAGGTGTGGGAGTCGTGGGGAGTGGCACTAGGGGGGTGATGTGGGAGTGGAGCTAGGGGTGAAGCAGGGGGTGTGTGAGAGGGGTGTGGGACTGTTGGGGGAGGTTGAGTGGAGGCTGCTGTCTTGTCGTCCGCAGCACCTGTAGTCCGGGGCGCACTGTCCTGGTAGCTCAGAGAGCCTGCTGCACCTGTTGCCCGTGGGTCCGTTGCTCCTGCCGCTCGTCGCAGCCGCAGAGCCTGTTACTCCTGTATTCCGGGACGCACTGTCTCGGTAGCCACTGAGAGCCTGCTGCACCAGTCGCCCGTGGGTCCGTTGCTTCTGCCGCTCGTCGTAGCCGCAGAGCCAGTTACTCCAGTATTCCGGGGCGCTCTGTCTCGGTAGCCACTGTGTCAGCCGCCACTGTGTCAGCCGCTTCTGTTGCCCGTGTGTCTGCAGCTTCAGTCGTCGCCTCCCATCTTCTCTCCTTTCATAGTCCCTCCTCCTCCTCACTTGCCCTCTGTGATAGCCTCTAGCTTTGCTGATAATTATGAACTATTGCTATGACTGCTCATTGTGCTGATTACACCCCACTTTGGCTATGGGGGTGTGTCAGAATATGTTGTTTGTGTAGCCTGCAGTGGGGTACTCTATAGTGAGTACAGCCCCTTAGGGTTTGCCATTTGTATCCTGCTGCTTGCTAGTTCAATCATTCCTTCTCAATTCTGTTCCTGCACACAATTCTAGCTCGTACTTGGCTCCTCGTTTCTAGTCCTACTGTGGCCTAGGCTACTAAGCCTAGGCCGTACTCCTACTACTTCTGACAAAGGCACCTGGATTGGTGCTCGTTCGACAGCTGTACAGAAAAGACAAAAAAAAAGAGGAGGTCGCGGCACTGTTTTCCTCCGACAAAAGCGGGTTGGGTGAACGGCACGCGAAAAATTCGGGGAGCTGCAAGGACAACATTGGTGCAGTTTACGGATTTCTCCTGACCCGGGCGTCTACACGATTTGACGGCGCAGCGGCGAAGCTGAGACCGGGAAGCTGTGGAATTTTCGTGGCGTGATAGGCACGGCGGGCTGCAAAACGGTTGGGCGATAGTTCCTTTTAACTAAGGCTACCCCGACTCCGATAGTTTTTGCCTCTCCAACGTGGCCGGGTTCGCGCGGGCAACAACGACGATACCCCATCCGACAAAAGCGGACGCTGGGTGAACGACGGGAAGCGGAATTGTCGGTGGGTGAATACGAAAAAATATGACGATGGAGGGAAAGTTGTGGGTGATCCAGCAGATCACTTGAGTGTGGTTGAGCCCAAGCATCACTCTACCGCGAATTTCGGAGTCTACTCGGTAGACCCCCGAAAGGGTTTGATATTTTTACATGGAGGCGCGGCGAGGGGTGAATCGCCAATGATACCTGGGATCTGCTAAGTGGCTTCGATGGGTATGAAGACGGGTGAACGTCGGAATACCAGGGTTGACGGCGGAAACGTCGGGGCTACACGGCGGAGAAAACTTCGGGACTGCAGCCTCAACCACGATTTTCGGGGTTATCTTCCTACGGTGAAAAAACAACAAAAAACAAAAAAAGAGTTGGAGCTGAGGGTGTTTCTTCGCTTCTTGGAGTGCGGTTGAGCCGTTGGGGGACTTCGCCTGAAGGGTCACCTTTTAAAGTCGTCTGGCAAGAAACACAGCGGCGGGGATACCTAGAACCCACGGGTGTTTAAACGTACACCGCGGGAAATTCTTCAGTAAAAGGGAGCGTGGGAGCAGCCGAAGTTTCGAGATTTACCTGCCGGCGACGAGCGATAAGGTGAAACATCAGCAAAGCGCCAGTGGGAGTTTGCGTGTTATTTTGTTAAAACATCATCGGCGGGAGCAGTTTCGACGATGGGGTCAACGGCGTTGATGCCTCTAGGATCCGTGAAAGTCGGTCTCGGAATACCCAGGTCTAGTCCCCAGTTCCAGATTATGCCCCCAGATGGGTTCTGAACTGACAGAAACAGCTGGTGACCGAGTGGGCGGCTATAGTACGACCGAAGATTTTGGAGGAGAACTGCAACTGCAACTGCGGATTTACGGAGCTACGTTTCGAGCGACATTTTCGGAGTTTGACGAAGGACTTACCAGTTTTACGGCGAGGAGCGCCGACATTTACGTGACAGTACTTCGGCGTTTGGTTAAACGCGCGCAACATTTACGTGGGGCAACACCGCGGGAACTACACAAAGTTTCAAGGGGTACGAACGACTTACGACGAACTGAAGAAGGCGGCAGCAACAGTGAAGGGGGGGAGAGACAGCTGTAAAATTTCATCCCTGCCCACGAACTATCGGCGCATTACGACAAAACTCTCGGAGATTCCATCCCAACTCTACCGCTGACAACTCGCCTTCGACCCGCCCACGACAACTGCATTTAATATCAACCACGTCAAGTGCTGCCAGCTGCAACTGCTGAAAACACCACCGAAGATTCTGGATGTGTCACGACAAAAAAATGACAGTTCGAGGTCTTTGATTATTTCGACACGGTTTCCGGGCTATTTCTTCTGGTTCGCCCTCGAAGACTTTTTGGGAACGTAATACCTGGTTTCGTCATCAATTTTTCCACACCGACGCATTTTTGTCCGGACATCACCACTCAACGCTTTTCTTCGTGAGGCTTAACACCTGGATTTTTGTTGGTTTTCATCTCGGCGCAGCAGTGAAACATTTTCTGGTGTGCTTTCTTGGAGGGGGGAGAAAGTGCGCTGCACTGTTCTTTCCTTGGCGTTTTTCTCGATCCTTTCTGACTTTGTCAGGTTGCGTCAGCACGACGGGCGATCGCGATTACACCGACACGATCTACGGTCCCTGCTCAAGCACGTTTGAATTCGCGTCAGCAGGTTCCTGTTAGAATGAACAAGTGTGGTTGAACTAACTAGATTGGGAGTACAAGTAGGAAACCCTAGAATGTTGTACCCCCTAAGGCTAAACCCACTATAGCCTACAGAATATAAACATATACAATGTTTGACACACCCCCATAGGCTAAGTGGGAGACAACCAGATGGTCACAAGACCAGTCAGAGCAAAGCAAAGCAAAACAAGCTCAGGGTGGATCTCAAGGATACCACACAAATTCCGAGCACAAGCAAATGGTCACAAGACCAGTTCACATGCAGTTTGATAATATAACAAGAGGTACAGTGATCACAACCTAGCAAGTGTAAGCATGCATGTATATATATAGAGATCACAGTACAAGCAGAGTCAAGAAGTGAGCAAGTGAGGGACAGTAGGCACAAGGCCTAGAACAGTACAGAAACGCTGATGATCACAAGGCTGAAGCGCCTTGGTGAACACATCAGCAGTGTTGGCCCGAGTGGCCACGTACGAAAGACGAAGCTGACCACGCTGCTGCAGCTCTCGAGCAAGGAAGTAGCGCAGAGCGATGTGCTTCGTTCTATGCTCCAGTCTGTGCTCCTGACACAAGGC